GGCGCCTGTAGTCCCAGCTACTTGGGAGGTGGAGGCAGGATAATCACTTGAGCCCAGGAGGTAGAGGTTGCTGTGAGCTGTGATGCCAGAGCACTCTACCCAGGGCAACAGCTTGAGGCTCTGTCTCACAAAATAAATAAATAAATAAAAATAAGGCTCAGCGTCTGTGGCTCAAGCAGCTAAGGCTCCAGCCACATATACCTAAGCTGGCGGTTCGAATCCAGCCCAGGCCCGCCAAACAACAATGACGGCTGCAACCAAAAAATAACCAGGCGTTGTGGCAGGCACCTGTGGTCCCAGCTACTTGGGAGGCAGAGGCAGGAGACTTGCTTGAGCCCAGGAGTTGGAGGATGCTGTGAGGTATGATGCCATGGCACTTCACCCAGGGCAATAGCTTGAGGCTCTGTCTCAAAAAAATAAAAAAGTTAATTTCTCAGCTTGGCACCCATAGCTCAGTGGTTAAGGCGCCAGCCACATACACCCAGGCTGGCAGGTCTGAACCCAGCCCAGGCCTGCTAAACAATGACAACTACAACAAAAAAATAGCCAGGCGTTGTGGTGGGCATCTGTAGTCCCAGCTACTTGGGAGGCAGAGGCAAGAGAATTGCTTAAGCCCAAGAATTTGAGGTTGCTGTGAGCTGTGACACCATAGCACTCTACTCAGGTTAACACAGTGTGACTCTGTCACACACACAAAAGTTAATTTCTTGGGCAGGTGCAATGGCTCATGCCTGTAATCTCAAAACTCTGGAAGGCTGAGGCGGGCAGATTGCTTGAGCTCAAGAGTTAGAGATCAGCCTGACCAAGAGGGAGACGAACAGTCAGATCTCTTTTCTAAAATAGCTGGGCATTATGTCGGGCACCCATACAAATCCCAGTTACTCAAGAGGCTGAGGCAAGAGAATCACTTGAGCCCAAGAGTTTGAGGTTGCTGTGAGCTATGATGCCACACCTCTCAACCTCAGGGAGACTGAGGAAGACTCTGTCTCAAAGAAAAAAAAAAAAAAAGTTAATTTCTCTGCCTCAACAACAAATCCAGGCATTACAAGTCCTGCTGGAGAGACAACAGATGTCTGTAGAGGATTTCAGCAGGCACACAGGAAGAAAGAGTCCATTATAAATAAAATGAGCTAGCTAGAAAAATACTTTAGCCAAAAAGCAGTCTAGCAGAAGTACAACTTGTGTACAGGAAATAAATATCTGGAAGCACAGAAAGGGAGTTTCAAGTTTTGATCGAGTACTATATATCATGACTAGATCAAGATATGTCTGAGAAAGAAAAATTCTGCAGGGCAAGAGGAACCAAAGCCTAAAAGTTGAAAGAACTATTTACCAGGATGAAGTCAGCAGTAACATAAACGAATATAACCAAGTGAAAGTTAACATGCATATATATTACCAATACAAAACTCGCCTTAATTCTTTTCCTATCTCAAGCTGTTTATTCAGCCTTAAATGGTATCCAAAATGTACGAGAGAAAGTAATCTTTCCCAAATTACTTTTTAACTTGATTTGTGTTCTACATGTTCACTACAATTTCAAAATTGGTTACTATAACCTCCAATTACGTCAATGTTTTGTTTTGTTCAGAGACAGTATTTCACTTGTTGCCCAGGCCAGAGTGCCTTGGCATCAGTCTAGCTCACAGCAATCTCAAAGAGTTCAAGTGATCCTCTTGCCTCAGCCTCCCAAGCAGCTGGCACTATAGGCACTCAGACACTTTTTTCTATTTTTAGCAGAGACAAGACCCTCTTCTTGCTCAGGCTGGTCTCAAACTCCTGATCTCAAGTGATCCTCCCACCTCAGTCTCCCACAATTCAAGGATTACAGGTTAAGAGCCACCATACCCAGAATCAATCTCTTAACAGAGGTAATCCCAGAAATCCAACTTTAGAGACAATAAATTATACCACATTTCTTTTAAGAGACAGAGTCTTACTCTGTTACCCAAACTAAAGTACAGCAGCCTGATCATAGCTCACTGTAGGCTCAAATTCCTGGGTATCTCAGCCTCCAAAGTGATGAGAATACAGGTGTGTGAGCCACTGACCCTAGCCAAATTCACTTTTGCAGAACATTCCCCTTGTTTCTACAGCATCATACAAAACTAATGATTGACTATGTATACCTCCCTTTCTGTGTATATGCCTGAGACACTCAACAAGTCCAAAATGGAGCGAATATTTACTTTGGGAACTCTGCACCCCAATGGCATCAAAATTAGTCAATTATCTAGCACCTCATACCAAACAAAGCAGATTACAACTGTGATCACAAGAATGACACCTAAAAATACAAAACTGGCCAGGCACAGTGGCTCACACCTGTAATCCTAGCACTCTCGGAGGCCAAGGTGGGTGGACTGCCTGAGCTCAGGAGTTCCAGACCACAGTGAGCAAGAGTGAGACCCCGTCTCTACTAAAAATAGAAAAACTAGCCAGGCATTGTGGCCTGTAAGTCCAACTACCCAGGAGGCTGAGGCAAGAGAATCACTTCGGCCCAAAAGTTTGAAAGTTTGAAGTTGCTATGGGCTAAGACACCATGGCACTCTACTGGGGTTGACCAAGTGAGACTTTCTCTCTCTCAAAAAAAAAAAAAAAAAAAGCCTGGCACAGTGGCTCACACCTGTAATCCCAGTCCTTGGGAGGCAGAGGCACATGGATTGCCTGAGCTCACAGGTTTGAGACCAGCCTAAGCAAGAGCCAGGCCTCATCTCTAAAAATAGGTGGGCGTTGTGGCAGGCACCTGTAGTCCCAGCTACTTGAGAGACTGAGGCAAGAGAATCGCTTGAGCCCAAGAGTTTGAGGGTTGCTGTGAGCTACGACCAAGGGTGACAAAGTGAGACTCCATCTCCAAAAAAATTACAGAACCA